ACCTTATGATCATTGTCGATTATATTATTTACATAACACTCTTATATATTATTTAAAAAATAGTATATTTACTAAATGACCAAACATACGAGTTTCAATCAATTTTTTAGTACATCATAATAAGAAAGACAAGATTAACCGAGGTTGTTCAAACAGACATAAGGTAAGTAAAAGGTATTATCGTAGCAATTAGGATTATGGATTTTCAGTTAATGGGGAGTAGTATGGGACCCATAGTCGGGGAGAAAATTGTCCGTTTGATTGAATACGTGAAGTTGGGATCATAAAAGTTGGGAAATTGTGAATTTGGATTTTACCGATAGTGCAACTTCTGTACTTTGACAGTGTATAACTCACAAACTGTAAGTCAGAATAAACTCGTATTTTGCTGTTAGAAAGCCCTTACTATATACTACAACTTTCATGAAAGGTCGAAAAGCCAGTTATGACTCTAAGTGGTTCGAAACAATGTGTGTTCCGGGGTTGTTTCCACCGTATTCAGGATTAATATGTTGTTTTGTAAAATTCGTATAAAATATATGGATAATCAAAATGATGTGGGTGGATTCATATATCAAAGGTAATATTGATTCTTATTAATTTAATATATAAATGTGATCAACGACTCATTTAGCTAACTTCAATAATTTTAAAAAAAATTATCGTCATCGCGCAACGCGCGATATCAAACACTAGTTATTTATAATTGAGGATTTTAAGAATATCTCCAAATGGTATATCTTTTCTCAATTTTAATATAAAAATAAATTGTATGAAAAAATAAAATATTTTTAACTTGATTTTTATTTTAAGTAACATATTTTTAAAACTTTTATTTTAATTAATATCTAAGATTTAAAGTTTTAAACATTTAAGTATCCGGATAACCCGTTGAAGCATTAACCGGTTACCAATGCTGATGTAACAAGTGATGTGGTATCCAACTTACTATTATTTGTTATTAAACCCAATTTCATCCCCTAGCATGGTAACCGTTTACTAGAGTACATACATGTTTAAACTTTACATATTAAAATAATTAATTTCTTCAATATTTAAAGTCTTTATTTTAATATAATTGTTGAAGATGTGATGTTAATTTGTGGCCGACATCAAATTAGAAGCATGTTACGGAGTCAAGGTCTTGAACAAAATGACAATTAATAATAATAATAATGTATATTAGAAGTTATAAAAATAGCCACTTGTATTGTTTAGAAAAGTGTTTTGTCTTATTTTCAATACAATAATAAATATAAAGAAGATTTAAGGTAGATCGAGATTCCTTATGATTTCATTGAAATAATGCATGTACCAAATGTGCACGCATCTATAACAAATAGAATAAATTACTTATCATTCATCAAACTGGATTTTGTTTATTATATATGATACTCAATTAAAATAAAAGTAAATTACACATTTGTAGGGGTGTTTCTGTCAAACCGTACACACCATGTAGCATATATAGATGTATATATATATATATGCTCATCTTAATGAACAAGATCAATTTAATAATTATAATCCAAGATTTATATGAGACCATCAATTTGATATATRCATACGTATAAATGTAAAGTATTAGTCTACATACATAACCTGTTTTTTGGCGCCAAATGATGATGTATGTATGGYAGTTAATTGAGTGACAGTTATGTGGTTCTCTGATGGTAAGAACCGCTAAGCACTGTATAAATTAGGCCCTGCTGCATCAATTTCATCGATCTCTCCTAAGAACACAAATACAATCCTGTGAGTTACCAATAGCCATCAAATGGTAAGGATATAGAGAGTGTATCTTAGAAAAGCATGGGTGATGAACAAGAAAGTGACCTAAATCAAAGTTCTTCAATATTACAAGGTATGTTCCTACCACTGTAATTAATCGCAAGTACGTGGTTCAAATATGATGCGTTAAATCGATCCTAGATCAAAATTAGTCTAACACACCATTCATACCGCATCGAATTATACCGTATCACAAAGCTTGATTTAATTTTCACGGTATAGTTTATGGTTTGTATTTTTACCAAATTGTGATGTGGTTTGCGGGTTTGAATTATCAAACTGTGGTTCAAACAACACAACACTGCATATTTTGTATTTTTAAATCTTATATATGTAATATTTTTGGTGTTTGTGTAACTTAGTATTTATGTAATATTTTTGGTGTTTGTGTTTTAGACTTTAAGTTTGATCCAATTGACAATATTAATAAATTAACTTAATTGTTTTGTACTATTTTTAATTATACAATATGTATTTGGGTATCATATATATTAAAAATTCCTTATTTTTTGAACTAGAGTCACATTATTGTTGATTTATAATGTATTTTCAAACTTATAATTATAAAATTGTAAGCATTAACTGCGATAGAGACAAACCGCATAAACTATACCACACCGTTTGGTAAACATTGACTATAAGAAACAAATATATAGATATTTTTTTTCTTCACAAAATCATCATTGGTATATTAGTTAGTTTATTGTTTTTCATATGTAAGGTCAAACGTTCAAGTCTTTTATTGCAATTCTTTTCAGAAACATAATAAATTTGAAATTAAAAGACAAGAACTAAGAAAATGGCACTGATCGGATTCAGACTTGAGTCTAGGGTGGAATAAAAAGTTTTGCTAACCAATTTTACGAGAGGAAACTTATGGTCTTATTGTAGCTTCAAGATACATACAATGACATACAATAAATTGATATGATAACATTTTTTACTACCCTATAATTTTGTACACTACGATGGAGGAACGAAATAGTGGCCCGTGCCACCACTTGAACCACTTGGGCCTGTCCATACACTGTTGTTTGCCATGATTGTAATTTGTTCTAGATCGAGGCCGTTTGGCTAATAACATGAAAGGGATTTTATCAAGGACATGCTTTAGCAATCATAAGCTAGCTTTCAGGGTAGTTTATTTTTTTATACTTATTGAAAAAGATTGGTTATGCCAATCATAAACTATTTTTTGAAAACACTATTCGAAACAGGGTTTAATTAGAGATACAAACAAACCAAATCCCTAATCATCTTCAATTTTAATTTACTCAAGGTGATTGATGTTGATAGATCACATCGAACCCCTTCATCATAGTCGCAAACTATGACAAATACCTTGATCTCTTGTTCCACAATGTGATTTTCTTTTGTCTCTATCTCCTATCAGATGGAATAACAATCAGTGGTCGGGAGAAAGATAGAGACGTGAAATATTCGTGTCGATGGGAGATGTAGGCTTTTCCTTTACGTTTTTACAACTCATTATTCAAATTACTTTGCTCGATGTATTTGTTATACATTCTTTATCGATACAGGTCATACATTTTATCTTTGTTTCAATTGAAGTTATGTAAGTTATTTCTTTTGGACAACGTGACCTCCAAGACAAACATTATTTTCAGTAAAATTGTTATATGGCTTACATTCATGTTGCCATGCTTTTAGTGAAAGCAATTTTTTTTTTTTCATATATGAAAAACAATTAATGAACTCATAAACTTATTAATTAACGAGTGACACGTCAAATGCAAGGAGAAAGTCGCAGTCGAAGTCGAAGTCGAAGTTGAATAACATTGTTTATTATAATTAAGTTGTTAAAGTTTGATTGTTTAATTCAAAATTATTCTACTGCATGCATATGTAATTTAGATTATTTTAATTATGTATTATTAATACGATAAGTCTGTACATTATATTCCCAAGAGAATTAAGAGGTGTGACATGTTCCATATATAAAGTTTTTTATCCTATTATTATTAAATGACATATTTATTCATCAAGTGATTATAAAATAAAGATCAAATAAATTATGTACATGTGAAATATGACATTTTAAATTAATACGTAATTTCACACAAATAATTGAAAGGTTGTACATTTTATCGTTTTGTCATAATTGACCCAACAAGCAGATCGATGTTCTCGAATGGAGGGTTGAATCCCGTTTCGTCATGGTTGATGGAAAGTATGCATGCCGCATGACTTTTGGTTGTATTCTCTTGCTACCTTCTTTCTTAATCTAAAAAATATTTCTCTATTTTTTTCTTAAAGTTTGCAAAAAAAGGTTTATTTAAATAGTAATTTTTTTTTAATTTAAATGTATTAATTTTACTATGACATATTAATGTACCTAAGTTTTCAACTTTGCATGTTTAAAACGAGTCTAAATTGTTGCTTTAAACATCTCAACTCAAGTACGTATATCCAAAATCTGGCACTTAAAAAAAATTCTAAGGAATAAGAAAACTACGAATTTAGCTTCCATCAAATTGGTTGATCTTGAACATGAATACAACTATACGAGATAAATTTAAATGTTTGTACGAAGTTTTTGCTTATAGTAGGTACTATCAAGGACACTTATTTGATAAGTTGTGACAAGTATGTGAAAGGAGAAGACGACCCTCCATTCATTAATAGACCTTTCCATTTTGTTTGTCGTGTAAGTATTGAATGATTAAGTTTTTGAACAACCATTGTTTTCATCGGATTTTCTTCACTCTTTATAGCAAGGAGCCAAAGAGCGGACCTAAAATTTAAAAAGTTGCCTTTATCTTCTATTTATTGAACACCATATTGAATAAGTCAATTAGTCGTCGGAGAGGTCGTGCACGTTGAGAAATACGAAAAAAAGAACGTTAAAGGAAAAGTTGTTTCAAACAAAATTCTGTATTCTAACATTTTATTTTAATCTATAAAATGTTTTATTGCAAATATATATCTTATTAGAAGTTTTTGCCTAACCACAGGTCTACAATCTGTTGGTGATGGTGTCAGTATATCACACAGGGTTAGGCTATCCATATATGCACAAAAGTAGGGAAATCTTATAAAAATGCACCTAAAATAATATTGAGGATATATGAATTTTTATTTTTGAATAACAATAATACAACCCTAGTCACATTGTGACAGGATCGAAAATACAAGAGAAGGTGAGGAGCATTCGTACTCAAATCAATATCTTTAACAAAATAAAACACTCAAATCTAAGATGAAAACGTACACACCAAAGAGAATGGGATCATAGAAATGAACCAACTTTAGAAAAATGAAATAAACAATGCAAAATGGATCTCTAGGCGCATTGGAAGCCTTTTGGGACCTTCTTTCCACAGTAGTTAAGCAACAAGCTCAAAGAAACAGGCACATTGAGGTTAATACCCAAGACATTAGCTTTAATGGCAGTGCAAAGACAAACAGCTGCCTCAAGATCAACAAGGTCACCGAGGAGGCTGCAGCAAGGAGTCTTTGGTGGTGTACCAACGACTAGGTGAACCAAGTCRTTGAGTAAGTTAGCACATACACCTAACTTGAGGGTGTCTTTAGGGCAAGTACTGGCTTTATGGTGATGATGTTTTGGGCTCTTTGGTGGTGGTGGGCATTGAGTTGAACTTACAAGAGTAAAGAAGAGAAGGTTGAGAGTGATGAGGAAAGCAGTTGTTGCCAACGCCCTTGAACCCATTTCCAACGGCTAGCTTTGGGATGGATGCAAAGGGAAGGAAAACTAGCTGGCTCAAGAAATGAATTGTTGGTAGCTAGTGTTGGGTGTGTAATAGTTCAAGTGTGTCAAGGTATTTATAGATGGAAATCATCAACAGTGTACATGTGTCACCTTTCAATTAGTTGCCTATTATTTAGGCTATGTTACTTTGCTTGCTTAACCAACCCTAATTAATCTTTCAACCTTAATTGGTTCTTTAATTCCTAGCCTATATATGGATTTTTTTTAGAAGCAACAGATTTATTAAGAAACCACCGAAGCTAGCAAGATGCTAGCACTTACAAAAGAGCCGTTAAAGGGCTGATACACCAAACATTTCAATCAAGAGAATATATGGATTAATGTGCAGATCTAATTATGGATTTTGTATTATGGGTTCAATAACTACAACAACATTAGTTTCGTAGGAGTCTAAAATGTAAATTAAACATCGTAATAAAATATAACTAAACAAAAATTATCACATCTAAAAATATTAACTACAATATAGTTATACAAAGCTTTTGAGTATTTTAACAAGATTTTTGGAACATTCTAAAAATTAAATGTCGTATTAGTCATTTTATACGTCATATTTGAAAAATTTGTCTTATAAAAAGATAAAGTTATAGGACACTTCAAAAGTATCCAGTGTCCTATAGAATAACTAATACGACACTTTATTTTGAAAGTGTCATAAAAAAACATGTTAAAACATATAAAACGTCATATAAAACTATTGCAACACTTTTAGATACGACGTTTTTCCTATAACATTCGATAAACCAATTTTATTGTAATGAATTTTGAACTAATTTTTTCCCATATTAAATGAATGTACGTGCAATCATACTTTTATCTTGATTGCAATATATATATATATATATATATATATTTTTTTTTTTGTAAGGGTGTCCGGGCCAAAGCCCGACTAATTCCCGGCAAATTTGGAGGCTAAACATGGCCCCACTTAAATGTCACCAACACTCTCCTCCCAGGGCTCGAACTCGGGTTCATGACTATGCCATGCCCAACCCTTTACCACTAAGCTGGAAGGTCTTTGACTTGATTGCAATATTTAAATGAGACGTAAAATAAAGAAGATTAAGGTGTTTGTGATTGCTTATAAAAACAATTTATTGATTTATTCCAGTGTGACATCGGTAATAAAAACTTTTGAGTGTTTGGATAAACAACTTATACCGGTGCCAAACCGGTAATAAAAAGTTTTTAAAAAATTTAAACTCTTCTGACTTATAATAAATTAATAAGTACTTTTGTTAAAAAAAATATAAATTGTTTCAAATCACCAATCCCAAAACACCCTTAAATAATCTAATTGATAGGACCGAGCAACCCATTTGTTTTCGTTATTCTTTAAATAATTGGTACCACCCATTTTTATATGATATATATAAATCCCGTGATATTAATCCAGCATTTTTTTGTTTGAAAAACATGCACATGAAGATTCAAATATCCATTGTGAATATTTGGTATGTAATTTCCGTGAAGGTTTGGTATAGATGTGCTTTTTTGTGGATGTTTTTTTTATCAACCTGGATATTTAACCTGTTATGCGAGCCGACTAATTCCTATGGCGACCACTTACTTTACAGATAGCCTGGAGCCACTGTATTTAAACCTCCGTGACCACAAGAAGATTTTTGTGTGATTTATTATGAATATTTTTGTGTTTTTTATATGAAAAATTTCCAAGTTTTGTTATAAATGTTTTAAATATTTCTACTATGAAGATTTGACAAGATAAAAAAAAAATACATGGCTTACTATGAATCTTACAGGTCTCGTAAAACTGCAATATCTTAGATGATTTTAAGGAGAAGAAAAATAACCAAAAATATTTACATATCTATCACAAAAAGTAAAATTCTAATAACCAAAAAACAAATGAATTTTTAAAAGGGTTAACGTATATTTTTATAAATTTTCTTATTATAGTATTCTACTTTCAGTTTTTTTTATTATAACAATGTATTTTCAAAATATTTTTTATTAAGGTATCATACTTTCATAAATTTATCCGTTATAGCATTGGGTAACCATTTAAATTAAATTTACCTATTATACCAGGTTTCTTTGCCACACCATCGTCTACGTAGGCTGTTCACATGTACGATAGTGCTGACATGACATTTCTTATTATAGTATTGTACTTTCAAAATTAATTTATCATAACATCACCATTTTCTATTACATCATTATACTTATAATATTTTTACCATTTAAACATTGTAAATTTAATCAAATATGTTTACTAAAAATTATAATATTAGAAATTAAACATGTTTATAAAAGATCACTAGTTCACAAATAAAAATATTCATAAAAAATCATTCGTTCATCGTAAATTTCATTGCTTACTTTGTAATGCTAAGATTTTATATTTTAATATTTTATTTCTTTCATCTATTTCTATAAAAAAAGAAATTTTCGGACCACAGGCGTACAACTTGTTGGTGATGGTGTCAGTATATCAACACGATTAGGCTATTCATATATGCACAAAAGTTCAGACTTTCTTGTAAGGAAATCTTACAAAAATGCACATAAAATAATATTGAGGATATGAATTTTTATTTTCAAATAACAATGATAAAACCCTAGTCACATTATGACAGGATCGAAAATACAAGAGAAGCTGAGAAGCCTTCGTACACAAATCAATATCTTTAACAAAATACAACACTCAAATCTAAGATGAAGATGTACACACCAAAGAGGATGGGATCATAGAAATAAACCAACTTTTGAAAAATGAAATAAACAATGGAAAATCGATCTCTAGGCACATTGGAAGCCTTTTGGGACCTTCTTTCCACAGTAGTTAAGCAACAAGCTCAAAGAAACAGGCACATTGAGGTTGATACCCAAGACATTAGCTTTAATGGCAGTGCAAAGACAAACAGCTGCCTCAAGATCAACAAGGTCACCGAGGAGGCTGCAACAAGGAGTCTTTGGTGGTGTACCAACGACTAGGTGAACCAAGTCATTGAGTAAGTTAGCACATACACCTAACTTGAGGGTGTCTTTAGGGCAAGTAGTGGCTTTGTGGTGATGATGATGTTTTGGGCTCTTTGGTGGTGGTGGGCATTGAGTTGAACTTACAAGAGTAAAGAAGAGAAGGTTGAGAGTGATGAGGAAAGCAGTTGTTGCCAACGCCCTTGAACCCATTTCCAACGGCTAGCTTTGGGATGGATGCAAAGGGAAGGAAAACTAGCTGGCTCAAGAAGTTAATTGTTGCTAGCTAGTGTTGGGGTGTGTTATAGTTCAAGTGTGTCAAGGTATTTATAGATGGAAATCATCAACAGTGTACATGTGTCGCCTTTCAATTAGTTGCCAATATTATTATTTAGGCTATGTTACTTTTCCAACCCTAATTAATCTTTCAACCTTAATTGGTTCTTTAATTCCTAGCCTATATAATGATTAATGTACATATCTTATTATGGATTTTGTATTATAGGTTCAATAACTACAACAACATTAGTTTTGTTGGATTCTAAAATATAAATTAAACATCATAATCAAATATGATTAAATAAAAAAAATACCACATTTAAAAGTGAACTACAATATAGTTATATATATATATATATATATATATATATATATATATATAAAGCTTTTGAGTATTTTAATAAGGTTTTTAGAACATTTTTTAAAAATAAAATGTCGTAATAATCATTTTATATGACATATTTGAAAAGTTGTCTTATAAAAAAGATAAAATTATAGGACACTTCAAAAGTATCCAATGTCCTATAAAATAACAAATACAACACTTTATTTTGAAAATGTCGTAAAAACCATGTTAAAACATCCTATAAAACTATTGCAACACTTTTAGATACGACGTTTTTTGTCCGATTCTATAAACTTAAATTCTACAAAATATGCAATGAAGACTTTTTTCTCCTATAACATTCTATAAACCAATTTTATTGTAGTGAATTTTGTATTAATTTTTTCCGGTATTAAAGGAATGTACGTGTAATCATATTTTTTTTTATCTTAATTGCAATATTTAAACAAGACTCGTAGAATAAAGAAGATTAAATAATCTAAATGATAGGACCGAGCAACCATTTGTTTTCGTTATTCTTTAAATTATTGGAACCACCAACATTTTTATATGAAATAAATCCTGTCATCATTTTTTGTGAGACAAACATGCACATGAAGATTCAAATATCCATAGTGATTGTTTGGTATGCAATTTCCATGAAGGTTTGGTATAGATAGATGTGCTTTCTGTGGATGTTTGATATGTGCTTTATTATGAATATTTGTATGTTCTTTATGTGAAAATTCTAAGATTTATTGTGCACGTTCAAGGATTTTTTTATTATGAAGGTTTGATAAAATAAAATAACTCATCTAATGGCTTACTATTAAAAGACAAATTTTTTTTGCCAAACAAGATTGAACTCTTGACGATTCAGAGGCTGATTCTTATTGAAACTATTAAAAAGTAAACAAACCACCTATAAATAAATTTCTAATTACTTGAGCAGGTAATGATTATTACGGTAAATATGGTATCAATGATGGCAATTTCCTACGACTGTAAATAAACAATATACCAGATAAAAGTTAATTATAATATAAAATGATAAAAATAATAAAATTCTATAATATTTAAGTGAAAATTGAGTAATTAATAAATAATTTTTTATTAAATTTTAAGAAGAAAAATGATCAAGAAATTAATCATAGAGAGATCCATGTGGGGGCGTCACGGGTATTTTCACATGGTTTTGCATCTTGTATCTATATTACGTTTCAATTAAATATGATGGTTCAATTTGTAGCAAATTATTCTACGATAATTTTTTTTAATTCAAAATAAATACTATTTTATGCATACATTTTCCTTACATATTATGAGTAGGAATAATTTCAACCACAACACACAAAAACATTAAAATGAATGGTTCATCAATACAAAAACATTTTTTTTAACTCCAACAACACTCAAAACACAATTTTCATATTCTAAAAAAAATACAATTTAAAAGCACAATAATTAATTATTAAACAAAATAAATGTATTAAACAGTACATAAAACACTTTAAAAAAATTACAAAAACCTTTAGCGGTATAAACAATGAACCGCTATATTTGACAACCACTACTGAAAATCACCATTTCACTTGTAAGGAAGTCAGCCGGTTGAAGCATTGGTAGCTAAACTTGCATTTAGGAGGTCCATTGTAGAGACATCAATTATTTTTAATTTAATTTCAAATATATATATATATATATAGAGAGAGAGAGAGAGAGAGAGAAGCTAAATATATAAGAAAAAGCTTATGGTTATTAAAAGAATGTCAACAAGATTTAAAATGTTGGTGTTAAAAGTATAAACGATTATCGAAACAATATTGCGCAAATTAATGTTGTACGTACCCAATAACTAGAGTTCGACCTGAGAGCAACTTGATCAAATGTTGTGTTGCATGTGGCTTCTAATGTACCCACGTTGATTGCTTCCAAGGTGACATAAAGATCCCTTACGAAGTCATCTATACCTCTAAAGGTGTTTAGAGTGCGTTTGGTATGCAGACGACATGGGACGAGACGGAACCAAAAAAAATAGTCTCATGTTTGGCATGTCATTGACAAAAAATCAATAGGACAAGATGTGACTATTTTTAAATTTTATGGGACAAAATTTGATAATTTTTGTTCCACCAAAAAAGGTGAAACAACATGGGACTAAATATAAAATGACTATGTTACCCTTTTATTTTTTACTTTTCTTTTTGTATTTTCTGAAGTTTTTTTTGGTTGAATCATCAGTTATTCTTGTTAGTCAATGACGTTGCCAAAATGCCAATTCAATCTTCTTGAAATTGTAAAGGATTTTAACTTTGTGACTTAAATTGCTTAATTCTGATTTAACTTCTCAATAATTTCTTATTTAACTTTTGATAAAAAAATCGGCATGTTGAAGCCTGTTTGTACTTTTAGCTTTTGTTCGTTATTTGGATGATTATTATGGGTAGCCCAATGTAACAATGATTTAAAATAACATTGATATAAAATAACGTTGAACTAAATTTAGGGGTAATATGGTCATTTTAACAGTTTTGTCCTGTTCTGTTCTAGTCGTACCAAACATAGGACATACAATTAGTCTTGTCCCGTCTCGTTCTGTCCCGTCCTGTCCCGTTCCGTCCTGTCTCGTCTAGTCTGCGTATCAAACGCTACCTTAGTGTTCTTAAAAGGCATATTTTATAGTTAATGCTATAAACCAAGTAAAAGGGGCTTATATAATAAATAATATTCATCTCTAGTTTTATTTTAATAAAAACTTTTTAAACCTAATAATAAAACAAATATCCGAAATTTTTCTAATTTCCAAGTGAAATGTGTTTGATTGAAATAAACCTAAATATTTAAACCAAATTAACAAAAGAGATTTCCATGCATGTTCATTCAATTTTAAATTCATATTTATTTTACTATTATAAAAAAAACGAAATAGTTTTATCAAATGTGTTTTAGTCTCGTTAATTACAGATTGAAGTAATTGCCACACAAATTGTGTTGGAAAAAAGATGCGATCAAGCATGAAGAAGAAAAACACACATCCTATTTTTTTACATTTATCTTGATATTTATCTTGTATTTCGTGGATCTTACATTTCCTTTCGAACACCTGTCATCGGCATCGTATCCTTGGTGTCACTTGATGTACCACAGCTTATGCATGGTGTACATGCATGTAATTAATGTTGCAGAAGGGGTCAAGATTATTTGGACTCTAGCTAGGCTATAAGACAACCCGAGAACGTGAAGGTTCCTAAAAGGTGTAGATATATTACAATTATTTGTCCCACCATTTAATTAATATACGGAATTTCCTATTCATAATACTAGACGTTGTTCACTAACATAAATAAAAATCGTATCAACTTGTTGTTGTACCACAAAAAAACTATTTCATCTATATATAATGAACATATATATATATATATAGAGAGAGAGAGAGAGAGAGAGAGAGAGAAGAATCATACGAGAAGTGGTATCTAGGTTAACTTGTGTTTATCTCAATTAATCCTATGACTTATGGGAAAGAGGCCCAAAGACTTAAACTTTTATAACCCTTAATCAAAAGTAGTTAAGTTTGTGTATTGGTAATTGTTCTCCTTCTATTTTGTGTATCACTGAGGATACTGGTCATTGGTAAGGAACCCCTTAACTGTAAACAATAATGTCAAATATAACTCACAAATTAACTTAACTTTGCAACTAACAAATCATGGGGATAAAAGGAGTAGTTAAAGTCATATTCTAAGAATAGCAAATCATTCTAGAATGGCATGTTAGAATGATTGAAACTTCCTAGGTTAAACAAATAGAATGATTTATATATATAGTTGTCAATCCATTCAGTTTAACATTCTCTTTAATGACTTTTGTTCATGTTCCTGTTGCCACTGCGTGACAGGATGTTCTGGATCCATCCAATTTAACGTTCTCCTTAATGACTCTTGTTCATGGCCCCATCGCCTCCATTGCACGGTGTTGTGGATCCATCCACACACATATAAATTATTCTTTAAATTAGCAAGCGTAAATGGTTAAGGAAAGAAGTTATCATTTATTAACTTACTTCGATTCAAATAAAATTTATTGGATCTTTTAAAACTAAAACAATTAATTATTAGTATCATTTTAAACCCTATAAATTTTATTTAAATAGGTGAAATATTTATATTTAATTATCAATATCTTTATCAACTATATAGGACTAGTACGTCACCATGCATGCATATATCTCTATGTCTTAAATAGTTATATGTATATGTTGTTAACGTCATAAATGAAATGATTTTAATAATTAACTGGAAAATAAAATTTTTTAGGAACCATATATGTAGATATACAATCAAAATATTATAATTATTGTGACACAAAATATCAAGTTAGGAAAAAGTATAAAATCCAAACCATGTAATAGAGGCTTATCTGACAGCTTGCACCAAGATATATATATATATATATATATAAATATATATATATATATATATATATATATATCCATGGATATCTATGATTTTCTTACTTATCCTCTTATGCTACCTCAATTCATTTTCATTCATATTTTTTATTGTGGTTTCATTTTTTCTAAGAATAAATACAATTATGCCTCTTTCTTTATAAAATGAACAACTTTTTTAATCATTAAAATAGTATTAATTTGTGAGACACCTAAAATGTTTAATAGGTTATTGAACACTTATAATAAGTTTAACTTATTGTAACATTCGTAAATATACGTTATATAATTTAATCCTATAAACTAGAATTATATAAAATATGTTATTAAGATGTTTAGAGGTTTTAAATATCACAGGAAGTCAATTTTGTTGTAGTGAAATAACATATTGGTTTACTAATCATTGTATAATAATAATTTTGTTGAAAAAACTTATATTGTATTTCTAAATATTATCAATTTCTGAGCTTTATTAAGTTATTTACACAATCAAATTTTCTCTCTTTATTGCTTATTTTCTTTATGTTTTGTGTATATTTTTTCTATGGATCTAAAGTCTGAGGAGATCTTTATGCATGTGTTCTGAGGCAAAATGATCTATCATCTCTACAATACCTTTGACAATTAAAAAACCGGTGGACTTTTGTTTTTTTGGCTTCATTATACCACTTTAGGCCGGAATTTAACATATTTTTACACACACACATTTAACCAATTTTCACACATAGAGATATGTACACTTTGAGAAAACGTGACTTTAAATTGTTTTTGTGAGAACGGTAAATTTTAATGTTATTTTATGAAGGTTTGATTTTTTTATACATTAACAATATTTTGCTGTGAAGTTTTTATATTATTTTGTGGTTTTACAGAACTCACGAAGACAGACCGGTCTAGCATGATCCCTATGGAAAGTTTAAAACGAGAACTACTTTATTTTAAGAAAACACAAAAACACTCGTTTGCTATAAAAAAAACACATGTGATAATGTAGTCAATAACGTATGATAAAATGATATGGACGACCTTTGGTGTTACGTGCCGAGTTGCTTGCACACCACCAAGAAGACTATCACATATGATTTATTATAGTAAAAAATGTTTTCGTGTTATTGTAAAATGAATATGTTATCATTTAATCATCCATCTATGAGAGAAGACGGGGTGCATTTTCTCTTTGATTGTGTTTGAGCTAACGGGAATCCATAATCCATACAAGTCCCAATAGAAGTTTCAAAAAGATGTTGGGGAAAGTGAGTAAGATATCGGAGAAGCAAAATATATGTATTATTGAGTTTTTAAGTTGCTGTCCAAAAGTAACGAAGAAGAAATGCAAGTGGGAGGGAAGCAGTGACGATTCCATGTATCTATAAATACCTATGCACCTTGCCTATATTCCTACAAAACAAACCACCTACTTTCTAACTATCCCAAAAGCTCAAAAACCACTTGGAGAAATGGCTTCAAGGGCTTTCGCAACAACAGCTCTTCTCCTTACCTTGAACCTTCTCTTCTTCACTTTGGTAACTTCCACTCACTCCCCAAAAGCCTGCCCACCCCCACCTCCATCGCCCTGCCCACCACCACCTCCATCTCCCTGCCCACCATCACCGAAGCCTCCTACTCCATCAGGCACGCCACCTAAGAAGGCAACTTGCCCAAAAGACACTCTCAAGTTGGGTGTGTGTGCTGATTTGCTCAATGACCTTGTCCACCTAGTCGTCGGAACCCCACCCAAGACACCATGCTGCACCCTCATCGGCGGCCTTGCCGATCTTGAGGCTGCTGTCTGCCTTTGTACCGCCATTAAAGCTAATATCTTGGGAATCAACCTCAACGTGCCCGTCTCTCTCAGCCTCTTGCTTAACTACTGTGGAAAGAAGGTCCCCTCCGGCTTCCAATGCTCCTAGATTTATCTTCTTGAATTTATCAAAGTTTTATACTTCAGTTAACTTGCTGTATTAAGAAGTTATATGATTGTGATTGATACGTGTAAAGAATCATGGACGTATATGGTTCAAGAATAAACTTATATGTAATTTTAATGATTTTACGAAATCTTAATTAAATCCTACGAACTTGCAATAATAATGTGATTTACTGGTACTCTACTTAATTTACAACAGAATAATCTGAAATAACTTTACTGTATGAGTCGTTAAGGTTGTGAACTATACGTATGCTTATTCCCCCCCCCCTTGGAGCTCGGCGAGTTCATCTTTGGGTATGGTTCATGAAGTTTTCATGGTGGTTCTCAGCTGGACTGTCCGGTGATAAGGCGAAATCTGCTAGATCGGAACCGACATACTGCTGAACCACTAGTACTGAAACCGTAGCTGCAAAATCTGACGATGCTAATAAGTCACCTATTGCTCCTAGCTCTGGGCATTCACTCCAGTCGGTCAACCCGGCTGTCAACGGTGATACCAGTCCTTGACCCCTTCCTACTATAAACAAATCATGTACGTTATCAACTGATCGTATTGCCGCTACTGTTTCCTCGCCGTTATTCACCACTTGTTCTGTGTAAGCAATCGAGTCGTCATGTGCAATCATTGTCCTAAACTGGTTAATAAACTCATCGTCTTCTTGCTTCTGTCTGTCGCTATCGGTCACCACTGTCAAAACCCTGGGGTCGTTTTCTATCCGGCCGGTACTACTCGTTGGTTCCTGGACGTCGTTCCCGGAGACGAATCGCATCACGGTGAGAGTGCTCCCTGGATGGCTGGCCATACGCCAAGCGAATGCTAGAGCTTCTCGGTCGTCTGGTCCACCAATGAATACCACCGCAATATTGTGTGAAATCTGATTTCCGGCTACCCTGGTGTTGCCGCCGAAGCCTCGGTCCACCAGAATGCCGACTGAGCAAGGCGAGTTTGCTAAAACATTTTGATTAATTACACGATAAGCAGGGTTAGTGGCTTCCATTCCGCCGTCCACTGTCTGTTGCTTGTGAAAAGGGAGGATAAGGAATGCTACACGCTTGTCCTCTGCAACACTACAAATGTCCTCGTGCATAGTGGAGTACGGGGATATTGCAGTTAATGGTTGAACTGATACATATTCGGCATTTTGCTCGAAGCTCTCGAAAGCATTAATGATGTGGTCAGATTGGGCTTGTGTTCTGTTGGCCGCTGGCCGGCCGGACTTCCGACTGTTATGGACAATTAGCATGGCAGAGGCCCGACCGGTGAGCTCGACGAGGTGAAGGGCGTAGACGCAGAGTGGAGACTTCTTGGTTGGGTTGGCGGCCTCAAGAAGGTTGATGATGGTTGGCACATTTCTTGGTGTGTGGATGCAAACCAGGGTTCGGAGATCATTATCCGGTTTGGTTTTAAGGATGGTTCTACGTTTATAGGGCGCAAATCTTCTTGCCGGTTTGTAAATTATCGTGACAGCTGGAGTGATGATCGCCGTCATCACCAATGCGACGACCACCATAATCGCAAACGATTTGTCATCCAGCACCTGCACACATTCATGGTCACAAAATTTAGAAGAAAAAACGAACAGTTTTTGGATGAAGTAAATCATTTAATCTATGATAATAGTAAATAATATGTTTTAAAGATTTGTATTAAAATCCAAAGAGTCGTGACCACAACTGGTAATGCGTTCGTTACTTTCTACTTTATTTTTTGAATATTGAAATAAAAAAGTAAACTTAAACAAGAGAAAAGATGACGATGATGATCATAATTAGAGGATTAAGAGAGATGGAAATTACCTTTTGATCCTTGCCAACATTGAGGATGATCATCTCAACTAGGCCTTTGCTGTTCATGAGCAATCCAAGTGCAACTCCGTCGTAGAATGGCATCTGGTAGAGTAGAGCAACGAGCAAAGTTCCGGCAATTTTTCCGGCACAGGCTAGTATTATCACAAGTGCCAAAATCCCCCATGTTGATGCCCCATCAATCGCCCCAATCGAGGTTTTAAGGCCGCTAATCGCAAAAAACAGTGGCAACAAAAGCCCGGATACAAAATCCTCCAATCTTTCAATGAGTGTAACCCCCAAAGGTCCATTCGGGATCACCAATCCAAAAATGAATGCACCGAACACCGAGTGGGTACCAATTGCATCTGTTATGAATCCTGAAATCATAACTCCAGTCAAGATCAAACAAATGTAGAACTCGCTAACACTTTCACCTTCTGGGGTCTTTTGTATGACCCAAAAAATCAATGGCCGGACTACAAAAATGCAGAACACAATAAACCCTGCACTCGATAGAACCACCCATAGAGTAGCCAAGTTAACAGACTCGTTTTCGCCTAAGGCGATAGCCAATGCTAGAAGAATCCATGCACACATGTCGTTGACAAGGGCAGATGACATGGCGATCCGGCCAATCTCTGTGTTCAGTAACTTGAGCTCGGCGAGGAGTCGTGCAAGCACCGGGAATGCGGTGACGGAGAGGGCTACTCCGAGAAACAAAATAAAAGTGCCTTGTTTGACTACTTGTGTTCTTTGGTGTAAGAGGAAGGAGAAGGAGATGCCGATAAGGAAAGGGAGGATCATTCCGGCGAATGCAATTATGATGGCTTTTCTGCCGGTGCGGCGGATCACGGCAATGTCCATTTCTACTCCGACTAGGAAGAGGAAGTAGAGAAGGCCGATGTTTGCCATTGTTTCAAGGACCATAACGCTTCTTAACGGGAATACTGCATTCGCAAAGATCGAACTTCGTCCCATAACTGATGGACCTAATATCACTCCACCCTGTACATGTTCATTAACGCAATTAACACCAAAATATCCAAAGATTGAAATATAAATCATTTTCAAGACATTTGTTAATGCATAAAACTGTATTTCATGATTGTTCAAAAATAAATAAGAATTGCTTCTTTCAAAAATTAATTATAGTAGTAAATTTGAAGAGGGTAAGGTGGCTTGGCCAACAGTTTGATCTCCGAATGGGTGCTGTGCTATGACACTAGGACTATTCGCAAAATTGTGAATTGAAGCGACGATTATAAATATGTGTGTGTGTGATATATAGTTTGCTTCAAATACAACCCATTGCATTTGTATAACCAATGCAACCCAATAAATTGAAATATTTATGGAAATGATAAAAGTTCATTTATTATGATTTAAATATTTATGGAAGATGAATACAGTTCATTAATTATGATTAATATTTTATATTAGGAAACAATTAAAACTTCTATAAAATTACATATTCATCAAATTAAACGAACAGTTGAGATTGAGTTGTATTGGTTGTACAAATGTAAGAGGTTGTATAATAACCAACCCCCCTCTCTCTCTCTCTCTCTATATATATATATATATAGAATTATAAATACAATTTAAAAGTAAAAACAATCTGAATCACAATTTATCTCTTGTTTCTTCATTAGAATTTTCATCGTCACGTCTTCTTGAAATTTCAGGGAACAAAATACTTACAAGGATCTCGGATATGACACGAGGTTGGCGAAAAGGTTTCAAGATGAAAACGAGAATACGGGTGGTGAGAACAACAAGTATTAATTGCAAAATGAAAAGAGGGAGCGAGTAATCCAATGGATTATCTCCTTGCCATATCCCATGGGTCGTGATCATCAATGGCGCATAGCAAACGATGGTCTCTTGTGAGGCGTTTTGTGGCGGCATTTTTCTTTATCGATTGCTTTTGAAATTACGAATACACAACATGTCTAGAGGAATGCATTCAAATTACGCCTAATGGTTCTTCATACAATAAAACTGGAAAGAGAAAGAGCAATAATTGAAAAGAAAACATTTAACATCAAAATTACAGGATGTGAGAGGAGTTCCGAACTTTACGGAATTTTGTAAATTGAGAATGAATGGATAAATTGGAAACTGAATCCCTTGGAGTTAGGAAGTCTGCTATGTCCATGGGTTAATATTACTTTTCGGTTGTTTACCTGATATTTTGGTAGGTTTAAATCACTTCTAGATCGAATCTAATGCTTGAGAATAGAAAAATAAATATATAAAAAAGGAAACACTAATGTCAGTTTATGTGATAATACACGTGAAGGGGCTTGGTGGTGTAAGAACGACATGACTCATAACTTAGATCGCATTAAAATTCGTTCGCATCCCTTATTTAGTATCACATTTGTATCATATGTGATGGAGTATATATCACGTGTGATTCTCTGTAGTAGAAGAGTGTTCTCGCATTCTCATTCAATCAATGTGTTCTCGTTTGAACCGATCTCTATATATGTGTATATCCAAGGGGGGGAGGGGAAGGAAATTTGAACTACAAAAATGTTAGAAACCTATTAGAAATTAAGATTCTCTCCCACAACTATCTCCGATCACCACTTTTTGGAGTACCACAACGTCCTACCTTCTCCAAACCCCTTCTTCTTCCCTCGTCTCCTACCACCTCCCACAAGCCCAAGCTGACTCCATTATCACACATCCCTCTAAGTCACTACGGCTGTAACAGAACAACAAACACAATGGGTTTTGATATCTTTTCTCTTAGTTTTAACATTCAGACATGAAAGTCCTTAATCGTTCAATATTTAACCAGATAAATATATCATATGATTCATATTCAAATCAAAAGCTTAAAAAGTGTATACATAAAACGGACAGTAACTATGATAATTTGATATCAAATTTCTAGAGTTCATTGTCATCGAATCCTCAATTCGAGGTAATACTTTTACATCTAAGCTTTAATAGTTATAAATCTCTCTCTCTCTCTCTCTCTCTATATATATATTAAAGGAGAAACCAAGGTTGATGACTTGGCTTCTCCTAAGGGTTGGAAACTTATTTATCTTTTTTTTCATTCATCATCCTTTAATCTTTTTTTTTAATTTCACATTCTAATTTCTATAAACATTGATTATCATTTATGTTTGCATTTAACACAATCTTTTYATTTTCCCTAACTCTTCTTCATAAATTGTTCATCATTCAATCTHTTTTTTTCCATCTCCATCACTTGATTTGTTTTTATTTCATTTTTCTCCATCTCTATCACTTGATTTGTTTTTCATTTTATAAATTGTTATTTTTCACCAAATCTATTTTTAAGTTTATTTCGGGAAGACCAATTCAGGTATGCGTTCCTTTCTATTTTTTTTGGGATTTTAGAATTTTGTTTTTTCTTACTTTTATCTTCTATGATTTTCCTAAGTTTTCTCAATGAAATGGAGAATTTGTTTTTTACAACACTTTTAGAGTTTTCGTGGCAACAATGGTTCGATTAATCGTCTGATGATAGAATCTTGAAAGTATTACAAACCATGAAGTAGCCTCAACAAATTTCAACATATTTTTGTAATGGTTATCTTTTTCAAGTATACTTTGAGAAAACTAATGTGTGTATGTATTTCTTTTGACTTTTATTGATATTTTTTATGTTTTTATGTTACGATTTTTCATGTAGCATCACCAAATTCAACATGCCCTTTTTAATGGTTATATTTTTTTTCAGGTTTATTTCAAGACAATTAATCCGAGTATGCAATTCTTCTTAATTTTGTTAGAATTTTAGAGGTTTTCTTTAACTAATGTCTTCTACATTTTTCTTAAGTTTTTTTTCCCAATAGAACCAACAATATGTTTTTAACAATTGTTTTAGAGTTTGGTTGACAACAACTACTCCTCATGGAATATTGAGAAAC